GCATTTCTGAACCCAATGACAAAAACTTAAAATACAGGACATGAATAAATCCATACAAAGCTATTATATGTCCAGACAGTGTTACTGGGGTTTGAAAGAACCTAAGATCACTTCAACCTGAGAAAGTTAGTTAATACGGAAGAGGAGGTTCACACAAAGGATGGTGGTGGTGGTTATGTGCCACGGAGTACTCCTAGCGACCCTGTACAGGGGTTCCAAGGCTGTAAATCTTTACAGGAGCAGAAAGTCTCATCTTTCTCCCGTGGAACAGCTGGTAGTTTTGAACTGCTAACCTTGCAGTTCGCAGCCCGATTCATAACCACTATGCTACCAGAGCTCCTTGATGCAAAGGATACAGAATCTTAAATCCAAAGCTGAATATTAACATCAGCTTTTCTGCAATAAAAAGACCACACCAAAACCACTTTATCGAGGTGATTCTGACTCCTGTTGTTGTTGTTGTTAGGTGCCATCGACTTGGTACTTACTTATAGTGACCTTATGCACAGCAGAACAAAACACTGCCTGATCCTGGGCCAACCTCACTATTGTTGCACACTTGAGTCCATCGATGCTGCCACTTGGCCAATCCATCTCATTGGGGGTCTTCCTCTTTTTCTCTGACCCTCCACCTTACCAAACATGATATTCTTCTCCAGTAACTGTCCGAAGTATGAGAGACGAAGTTTGACCATCCTGGCCTCCAAGGAGCATGCTGGCTGCACTTCTTCCAACACAATCTGTTGGTTCATTTGGCAGCCCATGGCACTTTCAATATTCTCCTCCAACACCATAATTCAAAGGCATCAATTCTTCTACAGTCTTCCTTATTTACTGTCCAGCTTTCATAAGCTTATGAGGTGACCGAAAATACAATGGCTTGGGTCAGGCGCAACTTAGTCTTCAAGCTGACATCTTTGCTCTTCAACACTTTAAAAAGGTCTTGTGCAGCAGATTTGCCTAATGCAATACATACGTCGTTTTGATTTCTTGACTGCTGCTTCCATGAGTGTTCACAGGTGATCCAAGAAGAATGAAGTCCTTGACCACTTCAATCTTTTCTCCTTTGATAAGAATGCTGTTTATTGGTCCAGTGGTAAGGATTTTTGTTTTCTTGACATTGAGTTGTAATCTGTACTGAAGGCTATGCCCTTTGATGTTCATCAGGAAATGTTTTAAGTCCTCTTCACTTTCAGCAAGCAAGGTTGTATCATCTGCATATCGCAGGTTGTTAAATGAGTCTTCCTCCAATCCTGATGCCGCGTTTTTCTTCATAGCACCCAACTTCTTGGATTATTTGCTCAGCATACAGGTTGAGTAAGTATGGTGAAAGAATACAATCCTGTCACACACCTTTCTAATTTTAAAACATTCAGTGTTCCCATGTTCTGTTCGAACAACTGCCTCTTGGTCCATGTACAGATTCTTCATGAGCACAATTAAGTGTTCTGGAATACTCATACTTTTCAATGTTGTCCATAGCTTGTCATAATCCATACAACCTGACTCAAAGCAATTCTATATAGGATTTCCAAAACTGTAAGTCTTTATGAAAGCAAACAACCCTATCTTTCTCACATGGAGTGGCTGATGGGTTTGAACTGCCGACTTAGTGGTTACCAACCCACAGTGTAACCATCTCTCCAATAGGAACCTATTAACAAATTTAAAACGGGAAGCAGCAAGTTCAAAGTATTCTTTAGAGAAATTAAGGTGAAGATGGACATAAACTGAGTAAGACATAATAAGCAGTAAAAATAATGACGAAGATTTTGTGATAGTGTAAGAATAAAATGGAGTCCTGGCATGGCACTGTATCATAGGGACTGGACTGCTAACTACAAGGTCACAGTTCAAACACACTAGTTGCGCCTCATAAACCCTACAAAGGGTTGTCATGAGTCAGAACCGACTCAAAAGCACTTAATAACAAGCACAAAATGATAATGTCCTGAATGGGAGTGTGGTCAAGGGAACAGAAAGCTGTAAGAAACACCAACAATGAAGAAGCAATAGAACTAAGTGACTGATTAGATACAGAAGTCAGAGTTAGGAGGAACTATAGTGAGTGATGCCTGAAGGACAAGTACCATTAACTGAAAATGGAAAGTCATGAAGTCATGACTAAGTCCTTCTCTTAGGAGAAAGAATGTCCTATGCTGGATATGATGGGTGACAACTGAAAATGTAAGCGCAAACCCACTTCCAACTAGTCAGTTTAGACTCTACTAATCAGAGTAGAACTGCTCTCTAGGGTTTCTGAGGTTACAACTATTTTTATTATTATTTTAAGTTTTTATTGTGAGTTGAGTGAAAGTTTACAGGGCAGATCATCAGTTTTATATTCAACAAATCATATACTTTGTTTCATTACAATGATTATAATCCCCTCCATGTACCATCAGTTAACAGTATTTATTTCTCTCTATTCATTTTACCTCTTTTTTTAAACACTCAGGCATATATAATCATTTAAACCACCAAAGGGCACATTCTGCAAGCCAGTCCCCTGGCTGCCAGCTCTCAGTCCCTATCTTTTCATGAATCTAGAGTCCTCAGCTGCTCCCTCTCTCCATGTCCCCATCTCTGCCTCCATCTCTGGTGTCGCTGGAGGCTGTAAATCTTTATGGAAGCATGCTGCCTCATCTTTCTCCTGAGGACCAGCTGGTGAGTTTGAACGATCAACTTTGTGGTTAGCAGCCCAATACTTAACCTACAGTACCACCAGGGCTCCACGCAGACTAACTGCTGGGGGGAGGGGGAAAGCAAGGCTGGCAGTGCACTTGTGTGAACCCATTACAGTTAAGGTCAGGAGAGTGGATGAGATCTCAGGGGAAAAGTATAAAGGGTCTTGGGTGGAAATTTTATATACTTCCCACCTTACTAGAATTCTGCACATTGCAAGATAGGCAGTTCACACCCACCAGTTGCTCTGATAAGAGAAAAATGAGACAGTTGCACAAAGATTTAGTCTCATCAATTCTTTAAGGTTGCTACGAGTCGATTCGACAGCAGTGGGATGGGTTGGAATGAGTTGTTCGGATTATATTTCTCAAGCTACTGTCTTCCTCAGACTCTGAGCTCCTTGAGGACATGTCTGCTCTCATCCTTCAGTTCCCGAAAGTACACAATACAAGGGCTTTATGCAATAAACAGGTAGCTTATTAAAGAAATCTACTCAATTAAACTATTCAAGATAATTTCTTCTTATTATTTTCTGTTCCACCTACACTCTGTAGTCCAAAAAGTAGTGCCTTGGGCAGTACTTTGAAAGGCACAGCTTTTACTTTAAATTAGTAAAATCAGTCCTGATAAATTTCAGCCAAGTGAGTTTAGGCAGCTTAAAGCATTTATCCAAAACACTGTTCTCACAGCTCTAGGACTGATGAACTGAAAGACCATACTTTGGGGCTGTGATAAATTACAAAAAATAATTTATATTATTTATTGAGAGACTAAAGTAGATGCAATCTTTCAATCTTGTGTACTATACAAGTTGACAATGTACAAAATGTCAAGTAGCTTCCGGTGAACTGAAGGATAACTGAAACCTAAATGAGATAATTAAAGGGTAACTGAAGAGAGTTATGACACGTACCCCTTTTTTAAGAACATAATCAAAGAAATGACATTGTTGGTTTGCTTTCCCACAAAACATTCCTGGGTATTACAGTCAGATGGAGTAATGGGCTAATCTGACCCAATATTTTGGTAAACAATATTTTCGCAGTTGCAATGAAAAAAAACAAAAGTTAATGGACTAGAGAACAAAATTGTTGCCAACCCCCTCCAAATTAAATTATTATTACTGTATTGTCGTCAATCTATGCCTTTTTGAGGTTCCAGTGTGCCACACTGCTGAATCACAATGTCCTCAGTGCTTTTAGATGGGTGCATGTAAGTAAGACACAGCAACGAAGAAACAAGAAACCAGCTGGAGTCACTGACTCCAGGAACCCACCAAATTACAGTCCAACTCCCGTCTCAGTGTGTTCGGCTGGCCTGCACTGTAAACTTAAAATTAAAAGATGGGTCACCAGTCTTTGCCTACCCATTTCCAACAACAGCAAATGGACCATAGCATTCCAATATGCTCGGAATCGAACAAATCGATTTTGTAGTGAATTCCTTCCAAGTTATTTCCAAGTAACTTTCACACCCTGGTCCTGGCTCTCTCAAGAGCAGCATTAATTGAAAGCCTTTTCACTTCTTTTGATTTATTTTCAAAACCAGGTATTATTTCCCGGCATGACAATACATTTACTAATGGGAAAATCGGTTCTCTTTTTCGCAGTGCTTGAGTCTCCTTAAAAGAAAAACGGAATACCAAGGCGCGAGAAGTAGACAGTTCCTTTAAACTCAGAACCGCGACTTCCTGAGTAGGGCGGAGAAAAGGGGACTTAAATAACCACAAGCCCTAGGAGACGTTGCAGCTGATGCGAAATACCGTTGCTAAGAAGCAAACAGCTCCAACCCGTGCCCGGCGGCTGGGACGTGATAAAAGCAACACAGACCTGGACTGGCAGCTCTGAGGCTTGAGGGGGCCAAGGAGCCTGCACCTCTTCTTGCCAAAGCCTCAAGGGGCGGAGTGGGAGCTCGTCCCCAGGCCGGCAGCAAGCCCAGCGCCTCACGGGCTGAGCGGCGGCCCGAAGAAGCGGCATCGCTAGGAGAAGGTTCAAGAGAGGCGCTTGGCAAAAGCCAAGCCGCGCCACTGGATCAGTTCAATTGCCCATACGCTCGACCACCCACCCGGTCCACCGGACGCCGACCAGGGAACGAGCAACAGTGGGAGCCTCCAGAGTTGGAGACGTCTTTAGCTTGGCCGGGTTTCATCTATCTCACCCGCCCGTCCGCCCACCCACCCTCCTTTGCTCCTCGATCCGAGGCTGAGCTGAAGGCCACCCAGGGGGTGGTGCCTGGGAGGCACGCCGCACTTGGGGGATCGCTGCCCGGCGAGCTAGGGCTCCCCGGCGGGCGGGCAGCTGCGGCGGGTCACTCACCGAGAGGACGCTCATGCGGATTGGGGTCTCCAATAAGCACGCCATCTTGAGCCTTCCCACCCGGCTGCTCCCGGCACCGGCGCGGGGGCCGGCACTTTCGACAGCGAACTCTTGAATCAACGGCAGTCACCTCTGCAGGAAGCCAAGAGAGAAGACGAGAACGGGCCACGCTCTAAACGTCGCTGAGGTACTGGAAAGGCCCGCCGAAAGGAAAGCAAAGGGGAAGCGCGCAAGAGGCCTTCTCACGAATCGTCAGCTCAGAAACAGCAGCTACTCTCGGCCTGGGTTAGTGGTGGGAGCGGGCAGCGGTTTCCGCATGCGCAGAAGAAGAAGAAGAAGAAGAAAAAAAAAAATCTGCCGGCCCCACCTGTCTTGCAGTGGGCGGAGCTCCGGGGGAGGAGTCTTGCTCTGGACAAGATACACAGATTGATTCGTTGTAGTAATTTATGGATTCACGTATTCATATTTATTTTTTAAAAAACACTGGTATGTGGAGCCACACACATAGTTTGAAGTGCACTCATACACTCTTTATTTTGTTCTCTCGTTTCACCAAAACCCTGGCAAAGTCTTCATTTTACAGGTGTAGACACTGTGACTCTGAAAAAACTTTTCTGAATTAGTGGCTGTCTACTTGAGGTTACCCAACAAAGCCAGGTCCCAGAACCAGGTCTTCTGCCACCAATAAGAGTGTTTGACGCCCCAACGCTAAGGTGTGGCTTGCTTTAGCATTGTCTGCCCGACACATTAAAGAGTAGTGTTGTAAAGACAGAATGTCTGGGGTTTTTATTTTTGATCAGCTGCTCAACCTCTTGATCTGTTACTTAACCTATTTTATGCTTCAGTTTCCTCATCTGTAAGATAAACGTTATGAGAATTGTTGTTGTTCAGTGCTACCAAGACAATTCTGACTCATCGCGACCCTGTATAGAGTTTCTAAGGAGCAGCTGGTGGGTTTAAAACCACCAACCTTGAGGATAGCAGTCCAGTACTGATCCTACAGAGCCACACCAGGACTCCTATTAGAATAGTTGTTGTTGTTGTTGTTGTTAGTAAAAGGATTGTTGTTAGTGCTGTTGAGTTGGTTCCGACCCACAGCAACCCTGTGTAGAGTTTTCTAGAAGTAGCTGGTAAGCTTGAACCGCCAACCTTATGGCTCAAACTGACTTTGCAGTTCCTCACATTAACCCACAGCGCCACATCAAGACTCCTATGAGTACAGACGAGTCAATAAATTTAAAGCACTTAGAATATGTCAAACGTAGAAGAAAAGCCTTCCGGTGCTGTGAAGTCCATTCATATTCATAGTGACCGTATAGGTCAGAGTGACACTGCCTTAGAGACTTTCCAAGGCTGTACATCTATAAGAGGCCAGGATGGCTAAGCTTCATCTCTCATACTTTGGACATATTGTAAAGAGGGAACAGTCGCTGGGTAAGATGGAGGGTCAGAGAAAAAGAGGAAGACCCCCAACGAGATGGATCGGCCAGGTGGCATCATTGATGGCATCGATTGTGGCGGCGATAGTGAGGTTGCCCCAGGATCGGACATTGTTTCGTTCTGCTGTGCATGGGATCGCTATGAGTCGGTTCCGACTCGATGACACCTGACAACAACAACATCTATATGGAAGCAGATTGTCATGACTGATGGATTCGAACTGCCAAATTTTGAGTCAGAAACTGAGCGTTTGAATCACTGAGCCACCAACGTTCCTAAAACATAGAAAACAATCTCTGTATGTGTTACTTAAAAAGTTTGGATGTTGTTGTTGTTAAGTGCCATCAAGTCGATTTCAACCCATAGCAACCCTGTATAGGGTTTCCGAGGAACAGCTGGTGAGCTTGAACCGCCGACCCTGCAGTTCAAATGGCTTTGCAGTCTGGCACATTAACAACGCACAGTCTGGATAAGTCACAAAAAATTCTTACAACTAAAGCCAAATAAAAATATATTCCTAATTGTATAGCTACAATTTTAACAAATATGTGTGTGTGTGTGTATGTGTGTGTGTATATATATATATTAAAATTATGTGTTCTGATGATCAATTCCACTCTCCCACTGTTTGTTTTGGTTTGGTTTTGGTGTGGCCCAAATTGCTGTTGACTTGACTAGACAGGTTTTACCTTTGTCCTTTTTGCAACCAGCAAGGTTTTCACAGGATGGTTGCAATGAGCCTGCTTCATTAGTTGTCTTTATTTCTCTGACCACTCCCTGATCCAGGCAGTTACTACCTCTCCCCTGGACTAGAACAATATCCTCCCAACTGGTCCTCCCAACAATATCCTCCCAACTGGTGGTGTGGCCTCTAGCCTCTCTTTCACTTTGTCATTCAGTTTTCTTCCCCTGTACATTGTCTCTAAATCTATTGTCTTATTTATCACCCTTTCTTGGGGGTCTGTGATCCCATCAAGCTGAGTTCCTGGGAGGCAAGAATTTCATTTTATGCATTTCTTGTGCTATGATATTGTTTCCCACATTTAAGTAATCTGCCTACCACCTACACAATTTTTACCAGTTTGCATTTGGGTATTATATTATTTACTCAATATTTTTGTTTAAGGCCAGTGTTGACTCATTTAAATATTTAAATTTCACATAATATTCTGTGAAATCATGTTTGTTGTGCTTCTTTTATTTTATTCTAGTTGTGATGTTATGGGCCATCGAGTCGGTTCTGACCCTATATAGGGTTTCCAAGGAGCAGCAGCTGGTGAGTTTGAACCACCAACCTTGTAGTTCAAACAGACCTTACAGTCCAGTGCATTTACCCACAGCACCATATATGCAACTGCAAAAAAAAAAAAAAAAGGTTTAAATGCCCATGCATTTACCACCTACAAGCATGCCATACATTACATACTACTGGACAGATCCTACAGTGGTGGTGTTTGCTGCAGAGTTGATTCCAACTCATGACAAACCCACAACCTTCACAGACAGCATAAAGAACTATCCATTGAATTTTCTTTTGTTCTTTTCTTTTTTCTTGAAGAATTACATCTTTTTTAAAATTGTGAATTAAGTGAAAAGCGCAAATCAGTTTTCTATTCAAAGTTCATACACAGTTTGTTTCATGTCACTGATTACAATCCCCACAATGTTACATCACTTACTTATTCTACTTCCTTGCTGCGTTTCCCATTTCCTCAATTAAATGTTCAGTTGACATGTGTGTATAGTGTAAAGTTATTACAGCTCTATTTAGCCCACATTCTCTCCATTAAGGAGCCCTGGTAACGAACGTAGTGGGTTATGAGTTGGGCTGCTAACCACAAGGTCAGTGAATTTACCAACCACTTTGAAGAAGAATGATGAGGCTTTCTATTCCTGTTAAGATGTATAGCCTCAGAAACCCTATATGATGTCACAAAGAGTTGGAATCTACTCCACAGCATACAACCACCACCACAACTACCAGCCTCCATTAGCTCATGCAATACATTCTCTAGAACTCTCCACATCCAACTATGGGTTAGGTGACCCCACCCCCATGCTTTTATGCTGACTCTATTCTTGCCATTAGCTTAGCATTTAAAAAATCTGTTGACATGTTTATCTACCCATTATTTGCTTTAGGGTAGGTACTAGTGATTTTTCTTTTCTTCTAGGTCTCTTATTTCAGTTCCTAGCATAGAGTTGTGGGCATTGGTGGTTTCGTTGAAGAATTCTTGTTTTCTATATGGAAGACTACACTGCAGCAGATTATTCAATATGGTCCTTAGAGCTATTGTTCTTGTTAAGTGCCGTGAAGTCGGTTCCGACCCATAGCAACCCTGTATAGGGTTTCTGAGGAGCCACTGGTGAGCTTGAACTGCCGACCTTGCAGTTCACATGGCTTTGCAGTCTGGCTCATTAACTCACAGTGCCACACCAAGACTTCCCTTAGCTGTTGTTGTTGTTGTTAAGTGCCGTCGAGTCGGTTCCGACCCATAGCGACCCTGTACAGGGTTTCCGAGGGTGTAAATCTTTACAGGAGTAGAAAGCCTCATCTTAGAGCTATAGTTCCACCAAATGATTGAGTGTGAATATGCAAATCAGGTGCTAGTGGCCCACCAAGTGGATTTGCATAACTTGCTAGTAATGTAAATAAGGTGCATGGCACCCTTGTGGGGTGTCCTTGTTCTTATTAAGTGCCAAGCTAGAGTTGGTTCCAGCTCATAGCCACCCTTTCTAAAGAGTGGTTGGTGGGTTTGAACCACCAACCTTGCAGTTAGCAGTCCAGTGCTCATCCTACAGTGCCATACAGGACTCCTTGTGGGTGTGGTATTATGCAAATAAGGTGTTGGGATTCTAATGATGCAACTGGTCAATTTTAGCATCTTACAGGGTCGCTATGGGTCGGAACCGACTCGATGGCACATAACAACAACAACAACTAAGTTAAAAGGGTCCTGGTGTGGTGCTGTGAGCTAATGCATCAGACTGCAAAATCATTTGAACTACAAGGTCGGTGGTTCATGCTCACCAGCTGCTCCTCGGAAACCCTATACAGGGTCACTATGGGTCGGAACCGACTCAACAATGCTTAACAACAACAACTAGGCCAAAGGGAGACACAGCTGAGAGAGAGGAGCTGCTGCAATATGAAAGACAGTGAGAAGTGATGGAACAGCAGTAACAAAAGCGCTATTAATTCAAGACAGCAAGAATCTGGAGACTGGTGTGAGTCAGCGGTAGTGGCCCATGGAGCTAGGAATTGTAACACTTGCTGGAGAAGGTCCTAAACAGGCCCAGCAGCAGAGGTTGAGATGAAGCTGTCCTGATTAAGAACAGTATTCTAAGTTGTTTCTTGTACTTCTAAGTTTATCCTGATCTCTAATTGTATCCTATGAATTCCTTAATAAACCTCATAATCATGAGTATGGTCCATGAGTTCTGTGTGGTCATTGTAAACCCAGCCAAACAGCAGAAAGGACTGTGGGAGGGACAGCTGGTGTCAGAAATGTTTGGTTTTTAAAAAAAAAAAAAAGGTTAGAGAGAAGAACACATGTCTGAGCTCTGCTCACAGGAATCAACCTTGGGCTATTGATTTTTTTTTTTTTTAACTTTTTATTGGAAATTGAGTGAAGTTTGCATTCAACATTTCATACACATTTTGTTTCGTGTCATTGATTGTAATCCCCACAATGCTGCCCAGGCTGTCCTATTTTATTTCCAACAGACTGGCATTTTACAGGAAGAAAACATTGATTAGCAAACCCTTTAAACTATGGTGATCAGGAACCTAGCTTCTAGGCAAACTTTTACTGCTAAATAACTTTAGGCACATTCTTCAAATCTATGTGATGTGTAGAAATTGGGTAATATTGATTCAGCCTCCATTTAACAGCAAGGAAATACACAGTGAAGAAATTAAGTATAAAC